GGCGCGTTCCAGAGGGAAAGAGGATAAATGCGCGCGCCCACAGAATGCAGTGACTGGAGCCAAGTCGTGTACTCCAAAATCAGCGACTATTTCTTATCGAAGCTCTCCACCAGTTACTGAATGTCACATGAGCTAACGGAGTCTACGGCTGGTTTGCATTAGGTCTTCAAGTTATAAGGTGTGAGCGCTTGTGTTATCTGATAGCAAATCATGTTCATCACATCCTTGAAGAATTCGCTTTCCATCCTGCGGTGAGTGTCCACCTCGATTCGGTCGCCAACAGTGGCTTTCTCAGAAATTAGCCGGCCAACCTGAGTATTCATATCAGCTGCCAGAATCATGGTATCTGTATTTCTGCCTGACCGTCGCCAGATGCCGTGAGCCTCAAAGCTGTGTTCTTTCGGAGCGAATGCTGACGCAGCGGACAAACATCGTTCGTTGTGTCGTTGATTGAACCAGTTAACCTGACCGCGCAAAGACGACTGTTTGCTGGAATCTAGTCCAGTAAGGCACATTCATTCCTAGACTAGACAACTCCCACACTGTAGATAATTCGAGCCATTGAATCAGGATCCACAGACACCTGAAGAGTTAGGTTGTACCTAGTGGCTTTGGATGCATTTTCAACTAGATCTTTATAGTTGTGTTTCGAAGGCACAACATACATCAATTCAAAGAGTACGGACGTTAAAGCAGCAATGTGGAACAGATTACTTGAGGTTAATAAGGGTTTTTTATTTGTTTTACTGGACAGAAACCTAGACATGAAGCAGCGTTTAGGTGATTGACAGCTAAATCAGCTAGAGGGACATCAATGAGGGACATAACGATAGGAGTCAGTAAATGGAGAATTGTAAGGAGTTATGATACTTCCTGGTTGGCCAGACCTCATAAGGGGGTTTGGTTGATCTCTTGGTTCAAAATTCTGACCCACAAGGTACTAGAAAAATGTAGAATTTTGCTTGGGAACCCTTCCCTTAGCCTGTGACTCAAAAGTCTAAACCGTGAGACCGTGGACTTTAGAGTTTTCTTTAAGGACCCTTCCCGACCAGCCACTCTGGCTAATTTGGCGATAAGCAGCTATCCTAGCCTAAGCACTCAAGGAGTGAGACGTATTTGTGGCTCCTAATGTGTCTGCGCACAGCAGATACCTTCTACGCAGTACCCGTATTGAACAATGCGCCGGTGGTCATGGTCAACCGTTTGGCG